AGACTGACTGACTGACTGACTGACTGACTGACTGACTGACTGACTGACTGACTGACAGACAGACAGACAGGCAGACAGACAGACAGACAGACTGACAGACTGTCAGACTGACAGACTGACAGACAGAGCGCTTTATATATATTAAGGATATTTATTTATTTATTCATGTATTAATTAGCGGTTTAGCGGTTGAGGCGGTCTCCAGCACACAAAGTGAAGAAAACAGCTCATGCCGGAAATTGGAACTATGCACTTGTAAAAACATTTGTTAACCATACATCAGTGAAGCATGTGCTCGAAAGAGCGAATGGGCATGAATGCTCCACACCGGAAGAGAAAGGGAAAACTCTAGTAAACTACTTTGGAAGCGTTTTTGTGACACCTTCCATAAAGCATGTAGCTGTGGGGTTGGTAGGCGACGAATCGGTTAGCGACGGATCCTTCGAGCTACCAAGCGTCACTCCCAGAGCGGTTTTCAAACATCGTCGATCTCTCAAGCCTTCATTCTCTGCTACCTCTGATGGAAATTCTCGATTCTTTTTCAAGCGGTTCACTAAAGAACTGGCTATCCTTCTGGCTCATATTTTTAATATCTCAATGATGTTAGTTCGTTGTATCTGGAAGCATGTTATAGTAACATCTATCACTAAAAACAATGAGGTCAGCCATGTGTACTGTTTTCGGCCTATAAGCCTCCTTCCCTCTCCGCTCAAGTCATGGAGAAAATTCTACAAAAATAGTTGTTCTTACGTGCTTCTTTACTTCTTACGTGAAGCCGAACTGTCCCCGAGGAATACCTTTCTTTTTGAGAGTCCAACAACAATACAAGAGTCAGTGAAGGAACGTCCCCTTGCATCCAACTGACGGATGCAACTCACACACGGATAGAGGCCTTCAATCTATGCAAAATAGTCGATGTTATCTATTTCGATCTAACAGAAGCCTTTGATACTATATGTTGGACAGCTACTCACTCAAGCTAGAAAGTTTGGGGGTCCGAGGGAATGCTCTGCAGTGGTTCAAGTCGTATCTTGCTGACTGGAAAATGAATGTACATTTGGCACTATTTACCCTTTGCTGCCCCACTCTGTGGAGAATGGGCTGGATTTCTATCGAATTTTTTTTTCAAGAAGAAATGAAAATGCTTGGCGCCCCGCTACGCTTTTCCTGTGCGACATTCCCATGGGACGTCGCTAGAGTGCCCATCTTTATGACGACTGGATGCGATATTCATGTTCTACGGGTCAAATTACCTCTCTAGGCAAGTTTCTAGTCGGTTTCATCTTGAAAAAAATTCGGTAGAAATCCAGCGAATTTTCGACAAAGTAAACAAAGTAAAGGGTAAACAGTGCCGTACGATTTTCTAATGACATCACTTGGTCGCAGTGGCCATTCAAGATGAGATGTATACCCCGTAGGTGGTTTCGAACGCTGATCTCAAATCTATGTTCCAAATCTGCTAAGCGATTCTGGGAACAAAGTTACGGGACCGATGTCTCCCTGTGTTATACCACACTAACGAACGGATCACCGAGCTGAGCAAAGACAGTACCTGTACAACGGTGGCCGAGCGGGTAGCGTAGTGAACTGTTAGACATGGCATCAAGGATCGATCCCTTGATGCATGCGCTCGTTTAGCTTTTCCATGAAATGTGTCCTAAACGGTTGCAAAACGTTTTTAGGCTCAATACTGGGCATCACAGCTCCCTCACAATTAAGGAACACTGAAAAGGATTACAAGGGAGGTTTTTTTTCTTTTGCCTTTCATCGGCCGAATAAAGGGGACGTTACATTCGAACAAAAGAGGGATTTTGAACATTTGCTCAAAATGGGCTCAAGAAGCTCCTAGGAGGAAGGTTCCAAATGATTCATCGCGTCAAAAGCTATTCTACATGTTACCAGCAAATCTTCTGAGCGGAGGTGGTGTCATCATACTTGATGGAGGACTTTCGTTCTTGCAGCATAACGTGAGCACCATCTAGGAAGAGGCGGTAGTGAAGAGCTCTTGAACCGTACTTTTCGATGCTGTGGAAACAAGCCCGTTATCCTTTGTGAGGATGTCGAGTCTGTGAAAGGCGATCATAATGATCCTCTGCGGTCGCCTGATGACAGCGACGATGGACCCGTACTTTCGGAGGAATATAGAGGTTCCTTAGTGAAACGTAGCTTTCAACTTTGTAATCTGACCCACGGGCTCCAATTTTATGACGCTGGTAGATGAGCAATAGTCTCCTATAGTTCGAGTTGGTTGGTTGGTCGCAACATTAGGTGCATAAGAAGCGGACCGATCTGCCCACCTATGGAGAATAGCGGATATTTATATAGGGGTCCCTTTACACGGCAGTCATTTCCACCGGATACCGCTTCAAATTAGCAATGGAAGACCATTGGAGACAACTTCAAAGCAAGCCGTTGGTGGGTTCAGGGTTTTGTGCACAGCAACATGATATCATGCCTCACCGCACCACCACATCTACCATGGAGGGTCTCTTGAAAAGGCGTTTACCTCTAGAATAGAGTTAGCGGATAATCATATGTGCACATAAGACGATGAATTATTGTTCTACAGTATTTCCCCAACAATGCCAGTTAACTTTTACATCCGCTTACAAAGCGCGGACAGTTTTCGTAGAACGTGAGGACCGTATCCCTCCCAAAGAGGGCTGTGGTCGGATGACTCATTCAACCGCCATCTACCGTAAGTGGTGCAGGGAGCTGCAGAAGATTTCGAAACACCATCTTGAGTGCTCGGGGTAGGGAGGTGTACATATACAGTAGCGCTCAAAAGTCTTCGGTGAAATGCTTTGACGCTTTTTCGTCCATAACTTTTTTCTTAGTGGACCAAATCGCGCGAAATTTAGATATGTTTCACTAGAGCATGTTTGACCTTACCCGACACTATTTGACAGCAAAGCTGCAATATCCACAAATAGAGCAAGGTGTTTGTTGCAGTAGCAGATTTTGCTAAAAGCAAAGTAGTTGACGTCTGCACTTATTCGCACCTTATGTGCGTTTTTTTTCACCTGTTGGGTTCGGCATTACCGCTCGTACACTTCAGACATGACAAAAAGGGAAGAGATTCTAAGAGGGCCGTCATCTGTATTTTCAGTCGATTTCGAGTTCATGCTGTTTGGGAAATCTGGAACACGATCAGATTGCAGGTCAATAGCGGTAAATATTCCCAATACACCCACGCTTCAAATATAGAAATTTCGCATGATTAGATTCAGTAGGAAAGGAGTTACGACTGAAAAGCACGGCTAAAGAACCATTTGACCGAAGACTTTTGAGCGCTACTGTATATGCGGTCAGCAATGGTAAAATTTTTTCATCGAATTGCTATTCTCCGGAATCCTAAATTGTGCGGGTGCTCCGTAAATGCCCAATATTGAGCCCAAAAACGTTTTGCAAGCGTTTAGGATACATTTTATGGAAAAGCAAAACGAGCGCATGCATCAAGGATTTGAACCTTGATGCCATGTCTGCCAGGCCACTACACAACCCGCTCGGCCACCATCGCACAGTTACGGTCATTGCTCAGCCGGGTGATCCGTTCGTTAGTGTGGTATAACACAGGGAGGCATCGGTCCCGTAACTTTGTTCCCAGAATCGTTTAGCAGATTTGGAACACAGATTTGAGATCAGCGTTCAAAACCACCTACGGGGTATACATCTCATCTTGAATGGCCACTGCGACCAAGTATCCTTCCCTTGTTAGTTGTATATGAGGAGAAGGACCGCGATATGTCTTAGACGCTGTTAAATCGTGCTGTCGAGAACATGCTTCGGTGGTGTAAACTATGGGAATCAAAGATCAAGCCTACGAAAGCCCATTCGTTTTACTGAGACCCTCCACGCTGGAAATGCACTTCCCTGATGGTTCAGCTATTGAGCGATTAGTAACAGTTTAGGATTTAGTTGTCAGTCTTGCTAAAAATTTGAAATGATTCAATAAAATCGAACTGGTTTCCAGTTGTTCAGGAATATCCACAGTTCCGTTGTGGATTTATAGCTTAAGCTCTATAGAACATATGTTCTTCCAGTAGTTGAATATTGCTGCCCGGTCTGGAGCCCGTCTGGTAAAAGATATTCAAAAGCTCGAGGATTTGCAAAAGCTTCTACAAGAATTTAGTTCTATAGAGCTTTTCCTAGTAATGACTACCCGCGAGCCTTTCCATCTTATCAATCTAGACTCAATGAACTGAATCTCAAAAGTTTGTTTTACAGGCGCGTCCAGTCAGACTTGTGATGGCTTTTAAGATATTCAGGGGCGAGCCACGGGTAAAGCCTTCCAGATAATGGTGTTTCGACCAACCAACGGACGATGAGGCGCATTCCAAATTCATAACCACAAAATGGGAAGATGTCATAAAAATTTGAGAGGAAATTGTTTTATTGTCCGCACCTCGAAGTGGCTAGAATCTCTACCTTCTCATTTTTTGGCAACTGAACTGAAATTCGAAGCACTTCAAAAACTCAATCAAAAAAGTCAATATCTTGGAACTGTTATGCATTGCTAATGTATCAAAATGTCGTTATTTCCTTTGACAAGGATCATTCAGTCTAGTCTTGAGATTAGAACGAAAGCTATTACTTTCGATTGCTCTCACACGCTCATCCTTTCCTTGTAGCATGTTTCGTATTTGCATAGGGAGGTTAGGTTTGCTGCACACAGTCTTCACGTCTGCTTGTGGTCCAGCTTGCATTGGCCTTGCTTGCTGTTCCCACGGGGTAGCCGGTATACCCGTGTCTCTAGGTTGCAGCAAGTGCCTATTACCTTGGGTGTGGCGAGCGGGCACCATAGCCAGCTGGTGTAGGTTCATGCAATGTTAGGGTCATTGACCTCTCTAACAAGGGCATAAATAAGCTATGTTCGCTTGTATGGTGAATCCCGCAATGTCTCGTTCATCCTCTAACATTACTTGTTGTTGAGTTGCTTGTTTTCTTCTAACATACCTCTTTCATGTTGTTTGGATTTATGTTTTTCCTTATGTGTTGCCAACTCCTTACAGTGTGTTCTCTCTCTTGTCGAAGCGCGTCCACTGGACGCACCATTTATTTATTCTCTTGATGGGGCGGAAGTGGTGTATTTTCAAGTGGCGCACTTCACATTCGCATGTGTTCAATTCTCGGATCGATATCCGCCTAGGCTAAGCTAGCCTTCCATGGGTCGGTTAATTGGTACCAGTCTCGTGGGAGTATAAAAGTGCTGACTTGTACATCGGCTGGCCACCGCAAGTCATTGTATGGGTCACATGCGCGTTCAACACGCCACTACGATTTTGAATGGAAGTCGAATGCGTGCGCGCATTCCCTTTGACGGGATTGACTAACGCCCCAAGACTTGATCCTTCTATTGCCTAAATGGTCTGTAGGACATAGCATAATCCTCTGTTAGCAGGAAATACATCCGTTGAATAATAGACAAACTTTCTTATTAGCCAATGTTTTATTTTCAGAGGTTCTGTTCAAAGCAAAGGTGAAAAGAGTGATGGATTCTACTCATGAGGCGTTTTTGTCTCTTTCTGAAGGCACTTTGATTGATGTTACTGCAATAAAATACAGCGACCACACCGATCTGATGGAGGGCGTGGTAAGATAGCTTCCTTTTGGTTAGGGTATTGCCTGGAGGATTACTTGGTACTTCCATTCATGCATACACATACATACATACATACATACATACATACATACATACATACATACATACATACATACATACGTATATCCGTATATACATACACATATACTTATATACATAAGTACCCGTAAACATACCTACGTACACACTGTCACAGGTGAAAATTTGTGACTAATTCTTTCTTTTTGGACCGGTAGATTAACGAGAATTACTTGCGCTCCCCACATCTGCACCTCTTTCTTCGCAGAACTTTTGTTTCATGGTTCTATTTCACGTGTGACTTTTTGGTCATGCACTTTTTTCCTGAAGTGCTAGTGGACCAAAATAGCTATGCATCTCTTTCCCCTTGGAACGCAAGTTTGTTCAAAATTTAAATACCTTGCTTTTGCTACGCGAAGGAACATACTGTGTGAACTCGGAGTCGTGCCCCAGCTTGCACTACACCCTCGTATGAAAGTCAATACACTGCTGTGCATTAGACGCTCCTGAGGTATGAATGACAATGGAATCTACAGTGTGTCCCCAAATTATGGGGGCTGAAATTCAGAAACCTATAGGGTAGAAATAATTTAGCGAATTCACTTCACCCGTTGTTTGCATTGTTGCTGAAGTGAAAATCCCAGAATTTCAGATAGCGGAAACTCATTCAATGCCATTTGCTATCACTGCCTTGTGAGAGGCGGAGGTGCATATCTGTACAGAAGGCTATTAAACGATACAGAGAAGTTTCAATCAAAGGCAAACCAGGAAAGGGTAGAAAGGACAGTTTTTCTAAAGATAGGATTATTAAAATGGTCCGTTTGCGAATCGATATGGGTGACCCATCAAAAGGACGGCAAAGGAGCAGTACTTATCGGTTTTGTCAAGGGTGGATTGAACAAGCAGAAGCTCCATATCCACTCCTATCGTATACAGAAATGGCGCTTCAATTATGATCTCGACAGGCAATGAACATCGACCCTGCAATCTCCCACAAATCACAAAAAAAATTGCTATAAGAGCAGCAAAATGTTTTTCGGAAGAGTCACTGGCAAGATTTCATCCCATGATTTTGTCGGTGCCGGTGAGAAAATTGACAAACATCTATAGTCGAAGGGCGTCCTGATGCACGTATAGAGCACTGATCCTACTCCGCTTTCTAAAACAGCTCGCAGCCCTTCCAGAAGGACGTTAAGCCCATGTTGCAAGCTCACCCGCTAGCGGTACCGAACGGTTGCTGCCCATCTTCATTAGTAAAAAGGAACCGCCATCCTGCTTTACAGGTCCTAACTCGACTTGTCTGTGTGGTCCCTGATTAGGAGAGGACCTATCGGGTTCGCGATCCTAATTTGGAGTGCTTGAAAGCACCACTCAAGAACGGATGAGGAGAGTGACGGAGGATAACTGCTACAACACGCGAGGAGTTGGAGAGCAAACTTCAGGCCTCACCCGCCCTCATGAGGTATATTTTGAAATGTGATTGTAGCATGTTCTAGCACATAATTTTAGCAAACGTGTATATGTATATGTTTCATTGAAATTCTCAGGTGGAAAACTTTCAATACATTGTCATGAATTAGCGTCCATAATTTGGAACACCCTGTATAAGCACGTCTGCTTGCATTTGTACAATAACATGCTACAATCACATTCCAAAATATCCCCTAGCCAAATACTCTTACGCTTTTTCAACCATAGCTTTTTTCTTAGTGGAGCAAATCGCGCAAAATTTTGATATGTTTAATTAAAGCATATTTCACACTATCCAACACTACTTGACTGCGAAGCAGCAATTTCCACATAACTGGAGCTAGCTGTTTGTCGCGCAGCAGATTTCGCCAAAAGCAAAGTTATTGACGTCTGCAGTTTTTCGCACCTTGAGTGCATTTTTCTTCTCCACTGTGTTCGGCATTAGCGTTCGTACACTTTGGACATGGCCAAAAGGAAAGGAATTCGAGAAGGACCATCATCCATTTTTTCAGTTGATTTTGAGTTCAAGCTCTTGTGGATATTTGGAACATGATCAGATTGTAGATCAATGGTGGCAAATATTCACAATACACCCATGCTACACATATTGAAATTTCGCATGGTTACATCAAGTAGGAAAGGAGTTACGACTAAAAAGTACGACTGAAGAAGCATTCGACCGAAGACTTTTGAGCGCTACTGTATATATGTATTCATCTTCATTTGATCGATGCAGTTGAAATCGCACGGCTGGAGGTTGGGAGGATGCGGCGGTTGAATCCAGTTTTCAATATTCTTTTCTTCAAAAAACTGCTGCACAATTCGAGATGCGTGGGGCTTTTCGTTGTCATGAGCGATAACTGCCTTCTTGAAGTTGGGTGCTGCCATCTAATTGTCGATATTATCGTCGAGAAACTGGCAGTACACTTCAGCGGCGACGATCATTTTTTCAGGACAGAGTCGCCACGCCCCAGAAATCCATTGCCATGATGAGGATCCGCTCGGAACCACGTAACTCTTCATGAACCAATTCGAGCCGTTCTTTGTCGGCGTCCATCCAAACCCCGACGCTTGTGACTTTTGGGCTCAGTGTACAAACTTACCCATGTCTCATCTATGGCCAACGTTCGTTTCAAGAGTCGTGGGTGACGAGGGTGGCGGAAAAGATTGTTTATACAGGCAACAATTCGGTTTTGGACCTGCTTCTGTAAGTAAATGAGGTGCCCATACACACATCTTCTTGACCACCTTCAATTCCTTGGACACAACTCGGCCAACGGTAGTAGCAGGAATGCCGGTGTAGCGGGCAAGTTCGGCAATGGTGCAGTCTCTGCGCTCAGCCATTCGACGCTTGATTTCAACTATTCGTTCTTCGTTTGCGGAGTGAACATTGTGAGCACCACCTCGGCCTTCACTTGTCTCCGTTCTTCCTTCTTTGAACATTCGCACCCATTTTTGCACATCACGCTTGAAGAGCGCCGTCCCGTCCATTTGTTGGTTGAGCTCACGATAAATTCGTGCGGCGGATTTTCCTCGTATAACGCCTCATTTGATAATTTCGCGTTGATCCTGTTCGACAATACTTCTTTTCAGTTTGTCAATATTTTCTGCTGCAGCCATAATGTCGAAATCGGGCAGTGTCGTAGCTGACGGTACTCGCTTCTGATCAGAACACTGTCGATGGTGACGGCCTCCTCCTTCACCTCAAATTTTTATGAATTTTTTAAAGGTAGTGTCGTCTTTTGCACCGTTTCATAATTATAAGGTCACCCTGAGAAAATAAATGATTTATTAACGTTGATGGAATATGTACAACACTGAATAATATATAGCTCCTCCTTGTTTAAGAGCAACATCAAAGAGTCTGCGTGGCATACTAGAAACTAGGTTTCGAGGATGTTCCTCATCGATTGCTCTCCATGCTTCGATAATCGCCCGCTTCAGCTCTTCTGTGCTCTGGAACTGCCGGTTATTCGCATAAATCTATCTGTCTATTATGCCCGAGATATTTTCCATCGGATTGAGATCGGGACTGCAGGCTGGCCATGGCAGGACGTCTATTTATTGGCATTGCAGCCCCTCATCCGCTGCACGGCTCACATGAATGGAGGAGATGTCTTGTTGAAAGACATAGTTGAGGTGACGGCGATGGCATGGAAACGATACTAGATGATACTCCAAGACGTTCTGGTAATCCTTGCAATACATACTGCAGCTCACGACAGGTAGATCCAACACGACATCATTGCAGAATGCACCTCACACCATAGACTTCCTCCGCCGAAACTGCGACGGCTGAAGTAGACTGGTTCCGTTCTCAAGTCGCATCAGTACCGCTTGTTTCCGTCAGAACCGTTTAGATTGAATTTCTTTTCATCCGAAAAGACGACCTGAGTAGGAATATTCAGCTCTGGTGAGATTTTGATGCAGATCTACCTTCTCCCAACCTCTCCCTAGGTTCATCTTTGCAAATCCGAGTCGAGCCTCTCTGTGGCGATCAGTGATTCGTGGCACCTTCTCCATTGCTTGCCTGGTGATGTTCCTGCATCTTCTCACTGCTCTCCAGACTGTAGTTTTCGACACAGAGAGGTTTAATTCCGATCGGATCTAGTTCACGGAGGACGTACTGTTGGAAACAGTCCTCAGAATCTTCCGCTCGTCACGGGCAGTGATCTTTCATGGGTGTCCACAGCCGGTGTCATATCTAGGGACATCAGGGCTCTCCAGAAATGCTTACCTTTATAAGTATCTTCAAACACGAAATTTCCTCTCTCCCATGAATAATTGTTCACTTTCTCAGGGTGACCTTATAATTATGAAACGGTGCAAAAACCGATAAACTGTACTAAGAAAGTTCAGAAAAATGCAGCTGCAGCTAAAAAACGGAAACCTAGGTTATTCATGCTGGGGAATCCGTTCATGATGCTAGAAAAAATTCTTAATGATTGCTTTTCCTGAAAGTGCAAAATTTGAGGGTGACCTTATAATTATGAAACGCACTATATATATATATACTGATATATACTGATATATATATACTGCGGATTTTTTCGCGGCTTCTTTTCTCTCGATGCAATTTGAATATGGAATTCAGGTATTTATAAAAATAGTCCTCTCGGTTTCCTCAACACAAATGTGCCTCGAAAGTCATCTCCATATTCGCCGCATTAAGCCCCATTAGTCCGAGGGATGTTAGAATTTGACGGAGTCACGAAGCGATCTCAACGAACTTTTCGGCGATGGAACAGTCAGCCAAAGCTATATAAGGAATGGAATTTGCTCTTATATCCATCATATTCCCCGACAGAAACTATTATGGATTATCACATCAACCGTTCGTCGAAAAATTGGCTGGCGAACAGAACCTACGACGGAAAGGATGACTTGATAGCAAATGTCGACACATGGTGAATTTGAAACTATATTTTTATGCATCGCATCAACAAAAGGAGCGTATCGTCATCTGATATAGTTCTGTCCTGTAGTAATTGTAGCTCAAAGCGGCACTTCGGCTACACATCGACAGCGGTACGCAGAGATCCTCGAGAAACTCCAACCCTAACTTTTTAACAAGCTTTTTCTTAGAAGCAGCAGCAGTGGTGTATTTTGGAGCGCAGACTTTCCTCTCCCCGTGTACACAATATACACGGACCCACTGGGTTGTGGGGCCGGAAAACTCGTAGGCTGATCGGAAGCAGGGGTGAAACTGCGAACATCTCCTCAGCACCAGTCCAGAGCTTTTCCATTCGTGAGCAAGACGCGAGTGTTTCCATATTGTGTCCCTGGAATAATCGTTGCTCTTAAGCAGCGCTTCTTCAGAAATGCCCCTTCTAAAAGTGATCTGATCACCTTTCATACTGTTCTCCTGTCTACAAAATAAGCGATACCGCTCTGATGGCACAGATGCCAGTTCAAACGATCATATGAGAGGAAATATGCGACGAGTAACAATCGAACCCTTCTAACTTCCGCTCCACTTGTAGTAAGAAATATACATGCAATCTCTAATCTGAACATTTGAACACCTTTTTATCAGGGAGAAATGTGTCGAAGCGCGTGACGCGTGCAAGTGTGGCACAGGATTTGTGCTTCCTCTCAAACTTCTCGTCAAAGAGCTTATAGGGCTTTTGAAACCTATTTGGATACCACTGCATTTACTGGTGGTAGACGGCTTCTTGGTGGTCCTCTTGACTCCACATCATTAAGGGGCGTGGGCTAAGTTAGGGTGTCGTCTCAGACGGTGAGACGACGAGACATTATTAGGTTGTTCGGGAAGAAATGCGCATTGGACTTGTTCATTTATTTTTCTCCTAATACAGGAGATTTTTCGAAACAGTTTTGTCTATTAGAAAGAGATCCTTATTGTGCATCTTTTGATATAATTTTATCTAAGTCTACTTTTTTTTAGAAAAAGGTAAAGGTATGGGTACTGTATCAGCTGAGCGACGCAAACAGGGCAACACGAGTGGTAATCGCCGGAATTCTTCGTCGCTACAAGAATAGCGGTTTCTTCGGCGCTACATCAGTCGAGAAATGGATCTGCTCCGACAACGCAACGCGAAAAAGTGCTTAGACGCCTGTGGCACTCCAAAACCTACTCCAAAACCAAACATTCACGGCAGAAAGGTGATGGTTTGTGTCTGGTGGAACAGCAAAGGTTTGGTGTACTTTGAAGTTCTGGATTCGGGACAGGGAGTTACGGCGAACACCTACAAAGGTCAGTTGAACCGCGTGGATTAAGCACTGTGTCGTCAAGGTGTCGAAACGACGTCGACCGCTCGTCCACATGTCACGTAAATCACTTTGAAAAAAATTGAGGAATTGTGCTGCGAGGTCCTGCCTCACTTCGAGTCGCAGCCGGTCAAGTTCTTCGAAAGAGGAATCCATTTCTTGCATATACGTTGGCAAAAAGTCATTGTTTGTGATGGGCATTATCTTTTGAATTAATCTTGTTTGATTTCGTTTTTATAGTAAAAATTTTTTGAACTCAACTTAATTTCTTTCCGAACAACCTAATAGTACGGGGTCGTTGCCATGGACGATGATAGATGGACTGTACAGCACAACGGGTGATTTGTGTTTATGTGTTTATCTATTCCAGGTCCAGAATTGGGCATAGGACAAGGCCAACAGAGCACATATGAGCTTAGCGGAGCTCCACCCACAGGGTGGTGTATGCACGACAGTAGGCGGTGCCTTGAGCGAAAGTCCGAATTAGGTTTCAAAACAGCCCAGATACCGGGAAAAAATGGGCAAAGGTGAGGGATGGGTCAACAAGTGAAATGAAGGATACTCACCGGCGGTGGGCGGAGCGCTCTCGCAGTGGGCGGTACTTAGCACATAAGATCATAACTCGATTCAACGGGAGCGTGGCGATCAGAAAAAACTAAACCAAGTGTGCAAGACATTCTGCGTGCCGGGCATGTATATGCATGTTGAAGCTCCGCCCACACTGGGCGGGGCATGCATTCAACTGTTGGATGCTTTTTGATAAAACCCATAACTCTGTTCAAAAACGTTTTACAACGTGGAAGTAAATGGTCATAGATCAAAACTGCGTAGCTCCGTTAAAATACGTTCCAGAATGCGGAAAAAGAGTGGTCAGAGGCTTCAGGAGGTCTATGGTCAAACTCTAGAGTGGGCTCGGTTGGCACCAAGGTGGGCGGGGCTGAGATCAAAAATTCATAACGCTGTTCAAAAACGTTCTAGAATGCGGTCAAAGCGTGGTTGGAGCTAATGGAAGAAATGTGGCTGAATCTCTGAAGTGGGCGGGGCTTGCACTAGGGTGGGCGGGGCTCTGTTTGAAGGTAAGGGAAATAATGTGGTCAAGTACCTGACTTGACCTGTGTTTGCACAGTGGTCTACGGGGCTAAGCTTGAAAATTCATATTTATGATTGAAAACTTTGTGGTCCTGGAAAGCAGCTAAAAGTGGGTTGATCGAGTTTTTATCGTGGGGTCTGCAGTGAAGTGGACGTTGTCATTTTCAACCACTAGTAATAATTCTGCTCAGAAGAAATTTATCGAGTCGAATGCGTTCAAAGCGGTTCAGCGTTCAAATCCAGAGAGAACTATCCTATTCTGATAATCCAACACTGCGCTGAATGATTCCATCGTGATGAGCTACATATGGTGGACATATAATGCAGTTAGCGTTCATAACCCAACTGGTGCATCTTATAATTCCCTTACAAAGTTGGTCTGCAATGGTTAACTTTCTTTTAGTAGCTCTCTACTCAAGAAGTTTTTATCTCCAGCGACCTTGACTAGGTGTGCTGCCGAAAGGGTCCAGGTTCAATACTATTTGTTTGATATTCCAGTTTTGAGTTATAACTTCTTTGAAAGCGATGATCGTCATATAAAATTGCAACTGAGGTAATCAGTTAGAAGTTCGCAGTAGGGCTGTAATTATGGAGCATTGATTCGTTTATTTTTTCATCGGTGGGCATGAAACTGTAACACAATACTGGCAAAGTTTCCCCACGATATAGTAAAACCTGTCCTAC